TGACGGACCGTACGGTGAGGACTCTTGGGCGTGTGAGGTCACCGCACGCCGCCGTACCGCTTCGGGGCCCCCAAGCCCCCCCCGTAGACTTCAGTCGGGCGTGTCCCTCTACATGAGGAATATTCGAAGGTAGTCCAACAATAGACTGGGGGCGATGCTTTACTATTTCTGATTGTTTTTGAGTATTGTTTGACTGCTTGAATTCGTCGTGCAAAATCCGCCTGTAGGAAGACATGCCTTACCTAACCGTAGACTTCCGTTGGACTCGAAATTATCGGGCCCGAGGTCTTTCGGCATCGTCGGCCCTTGGAGCCGCAGACGCACTTTTGGGTCGAGCGTTCAGTCGGGCATGTCCCCTTACAGGAGGAATACCCACGAATAGTCAACAAATGTTGTGGGGACGATGTCTTGATCATTTTTGATTATTCTTGGACTACGTTTCATCTCTCCTCCAAAATCCGCCTGTAGGAGGACATGCCCGACCGAAGTCGAGCGATCCCCACCAGAGAGCGCGAGGCGGGGTGCCCGTGCCCAGCGAGAGCACCGGCACGCGCCTCTCGAGGCACCCCGCCCCTTGTCCGGCCGGAGCGGTAGGTGACCCAAGAAAAAAACATCGGGGGCCGAGAACGAGCCCGAAGCTCGTACCGAAACCGTACAGTCAACCCGCACATACACCTTAGGCGATGCTTAAGAAAACCTAAGTTTTCGGCCAGAGTCTCGATGATTCTTAATGTTTCAATGTAAATCCTAAGATTTGAATAGACATTCTGGGTTTTCATTAAAATTCTGAGACTATGAATTTCTTAACCCATGATTTCTTAAGCATTTCGCAGGGTGTACAGTGGGGGCGCCCATCAAGAAACCAATGCTTTTCGTCAGGGTATCCTGGGTCTCTTCGCGCCGCGCGCTGCGCGGTGACTTCGCGCCGCGCGCTGCGCGGTGACTTCCCGCAGCCGTTGAAGAAGCTACTGCGTTCGGGGTGATCCGGGTTTCCCCTCAGGTGTACCTCTCGCGCGGGTTTTCAGGGGTGGGTTTCTTGCGAGGGTTTCTTGCGGCCGCGACCGCACTGTAAGGATTCGAAGTAGAAGCAACACGCCCAAAACATCTTGTTTGGGCGCTCCGCGCGGGTTTCTCGGCGCGCTCCGCGCGCCAGGGAGGGGGTCCAGCGCAGATCCAAAAAAATCCGCGCGGAGCGCCAAAAGTGCCGAAAACGTGCCCGAAGTTATCACCGAAAGCGTACAGTTACGTCTGGCATGTTCCTCCACCAGAGGAATACCCGAACAGAATCAACAAAATTGTCAGCAGGGGACGATTGTTCGACTACTGTTTGATTATTGTTTGATCATTTGCTGGACTGTTTCATGTTTCTTCCCAAATCCGCCTTTAGGACATGGCCGACCTAAAGGAAGGTGGCCGACAAACATCGGGGACCGAACGCGTGCCCGAAGTTAGGACCGAAAGCGCACAGTCAATCCGCATAACAATCGAAGAAGATACAACGCCAGCGCCATAAAAATGAACGTTCGGCGCTCCGCGCGGATTTTTTGGATCCGCGCTAGGGCCCCCCTGGCGGCGCCTGAGGCGCCGCCTGGTCAATCGCAGATCCAAGAAATCCGTGCGGACCGCCAAAAGTGTATGTTTATGGCGTTTTGTTTTCTTTAAGCGCCCGAAGTTTGGACCGAAAACGCACAGTCAACCCGCATAGTAAGGATGAGCAACCTTTCCAAGGGCACTCTCTTTCATCCTTGCCCCTTCGCCCATCATTGGCCGCTTTCGCTGGCCGCGCCCCGCTCGCAGAGTGTCGGCACGGCCTTCCAAGGCCCTTGCATCCTTATCGTGCTTCCTTACTCTACGGGTTGGCTGTAGTGTGCCCTGAGGTGAGCGTTGCCAATGACTTTCGCTCAGGCAACGCCCCCCCACCATCCCGCTGCCGCGCACTCCCTTGTGTTGGCCGGGGTCGTGGGGGCCCTCCCCTCCCCCCCCTAATTCGGTGCAGGTGGCCTGTCCTGGGCACGGCGCGTCGGCGCCCGCTCGCTCGGTCAGCGCCCGCTGGACAAAAGGTTGGCTGTAGTGTGACCGAAGATGTGACCCAAATTGAGTACGTCTTGGTTTCGAACCCAGGTGTCGGTCACACTCGGGCTCGGCCTGAACACTTCGGGCGCGAGTTTCGGTCACATGTCTCGCCGACTTGCCTTGGCTGTGCCGGCCTCGGCGCGACGCTGTAGCATCGAGGGATCCCCTTCCCATCAGTTGGGAAGCTGGTGATTAAACATACTTTAAAGCTCGGGGAACCGTCACATGTGCCTCTGGGTGTTTGGTGCTGGGTACCAGCATTCGTATTAGGAAAGATGG